CAACAAGGGAAATGATCTAGCTTGGTTATCTGTCTTTTTATATTTTTTAAAGTTTTACAATTATATTAGTGTTCCCTACGTGGATTATTTTGTTTTTATTTATATTCCTTCATTTTTTGCTCTGTGTTAATATTGTTTCTATTTTGGGTTTGCCTGTACTTGGCAGTTATATTTAATACTGTATATTTATAAGTTTAGTTAATCCGTTTGTGTAAGATTTTTAATTTTTATTTCACTATTATTGTATATATTATCAGTGTTTGCCTGTTATTGGCTTCTTGCTGTTGGCAAACACGTAAATAAATTAATTGAATTGAATTGAATTGAATTGAAATAATGATGTTGAAAAACTGCTGAATGTATCATTAGGTAAAGAAAAACAGTTAGCTCAATACTGTTTACTTATGGGAGAAAGTTTCTGTGGGTTAACCGTGAAAGATTTGCAGCGAAAAAACATGGCAGCTGGCTAATATATCTCAAGTGGCATCCAGAGCTGTCTGTGAGGAAACATCAGTCGCTATCTGTTACTATAACTCCCAGTTTCACGCTTGAAAATTGAAACATTTTTTGGTTACTGAAACTGGAACTTCAACGCATCAGACAATCAGGAGGTCGACTATTTAATGTCGACGTTGCGGGTATCACGACTGTGCAGAACACTGAAAGGCAAACAGAAAAATCCACAAGCTTTCGTCAGCCGAAAGAGGAGAGCTCTTGTCAGCCGCTGCCACTTACGAACCTCCCTCAGTCTTTCGCAGAAAGAGTACGAAGCCAGAGTTCTCAGATGGATCTCCACCTGGCATCCATCGCCGGCTGTCATCCGCCAGGGTGGATTTAGCTGGATCCGTTTACTCAGAGGTTCCACCACTTCACCTCGTTTGTCAAACCAACCCAAGAGGATCCTTTTGTTCTGGTAGTGGTCGGTCATTACTCCCACACGCACAATATCGATGTGATACACCTAGGGCGTGAAAATGGGATTTCTATCGAGTGCCTTCCACCAGATAAAACTTACGACGCGCGGGAGATAGAATGTTGGTTGTCAGCTAATCCTTGTCGCATTGTGGTGACTGTTTTTCGAGTAGCTCATCTTATGGGACAAGCATTCATAATGGCAATAACCATGGCTTCAGAGCTACAGAAATCCTGCCTTATAATCCGGACATTTTCACAGAGTCGAGATTTTCTTGCTGGTACAAGAGAACAGGACGCTGCCAGTTACGAGATAACTGTAACCAATGCCTTGGTTTCACCAAGTGTCAATAGACCAGCGACTCGCATCTGTGAACCTGTGCCTTCTACATCTCACGGAGGAAGGCGTACAGTATCGGCTACCCTGCTAACAGGTTCTTCATACAAGAGCACATTAACAGAGTCGATGGCGGAAAGAAAGAGTTACCTGCAAAACGCAGATTAATCTCATCACCAGTCAAAATGTGGAAAAGTAGGACCTGACGAGAAACTTTTCAAGAGAATAAAAAATTATTCTACGTTGAACAGTTTTGATGAACAAGAACCATCGTATATTTCGAGTGATGACAGCGACGGTGACAGTGGTAATGGACACTCAAAGTCCGTTTTGTCATGGTCTACTCTCTGATGACAGTAAAGGCGAAACGTGGATCCAGTGCGAAAAGTGCTTTCAATGGGCGCATGAAAAATGTGACAAGATAAAGAACATAGCACATAATTACATTTGTATATCTTGCCATTAAGAGTTGAACTAGATTTCCTTCGACCTATTACAAATTCATTTGATATGCCTTAATTATACTACTTAATCGAGATTTTCTCGCGATATGTTTGTCCTCGATCGCTGTTTATTCCGCTTACAGCTTTGGAATGTGCGATTCAAAATCGAAGTTCCGCAATTATTCATTTTCTTAACACGTTCTTTATATCGTAATATATTTATAATGTTTCCTGTAAAATCCATTTACCTTTGATAGCAAAATCTCTGTTTGTAGTCATAAAAATTTAAGTAGGCGATATTCGGAACAGTTTTGTGAATTGAAAGCGACTGATAATTCTTTCTCACAATCAAAATTCTGAGTTCTAAAAATTAAAATTTTTAAAACTCCGCGCTGAAATATTGTAGTATTTTGGGCCATAAACCTGAAATTATTTTGGGGTGCTTAGGTACGTACTTACATTCTTATTAATAATAGCAGTAGTATTAACCGAAAGTTAAACAGTTTCTCAATTAGGATTATGCTCTATGCTGCCTGCAAAACATATTTTCTAGTCATTCCACCTAACAATGTTGAATAATATAGAACGTTAGGTAGAATATTAATAAGGTAGAACGTTAATTTAAATTAAACATTCTAAATTTTAAACTCACCTTCTTAACTGCATGTTTCACGGCAAAGGACATGCAACCCAGGAACTCGCTCCTCCTGAAACAAAGGTACGAAAACGATGTAATATAACGAGAGTGGAAATGTTTGTTACAAACAGCACATACGACCATTCAACTATTGTCCGCGTCAGTTTACCTGGCGTCTGTTGGTGTGGACTTTGTTTAAGCGACCTGACGGGAAAGCAGGTATTCGCCGATGAAAATAACATCGAGCATGGCTCACACTGTGGAGACGAAGGAGAAATGTTATTTTGGACTATAGTACGAGCAAAGCAAGCTATCTCTCTCACTCACAGCACCTCTTCTGGAAGACGCCAAGATAAATGACGCGGACAGTATTTTCCAAGGACGTTACATACGATGTTTAAAGCCTTATCGACCTTCGTGAGTTTCTACACCTGGCAGAAATCTTTTGCAGTGCGAGCCCATTTTTGAGATAAGACAAGGCAATTCCAATGGACCTGAAATTAGAGGCTATTAATTAAAACCTAAAACATTTGTGTGTACAATCAGAGGGGAATACTACGGTGTGCCTAACAGCGCGCTGCCAGACCACTAACACTATAGTGACAAAGAAATTCCCTTAGAATAACCTTGACTTGCAGACCAGAATTCGCCATTGCCTATAAATTAGGTAGATTTTTCAAACACCAAATTTCATTCAAATTCATTCCTTAATTTCAGATACAAACCACACGAACGGACAGACATAATTTCCTCAGTACGCGTTATTTTTATGTAAGACTACTTCCTGCGAAGTACGTTAATAAAATGCCGATTTCATGCTTCATAAACCATAAGGAACCACGTGAATGTCTACGGTGTTCATTGCCGAAAGCGTTAAAATGCAAATTTAATTTTCTTCCTTAACCACTCGACGTTATATAACGAGAGTGGAAATGTTTGTTACAAACAGCACATACGACCATTCAACTATTGTCCGCGTCAGTTTACCTGGCGTCTGTTGGTGTGGACTTTGTTTAAGCGACCTGACGGGAAAGCAGGTATTCGCCGATGAAAATAACATCGAGCATGGCTCACACTGTGGAGACGAAGGAGAAATGTTATTTTGGACTATAGTACGAGCAAAGCAAGCTATCTCTCTCACTCACAGCACCTCTTCTGGAAGACGCCAAGATAAATGACGCGGACAGTATTTTCCAAGGACGTTACATACGATGTTTAAAGCCTTATCGACCTTCGTGAGTTTCTACACCTGGCAGAAATCTTTTGCAGTGCGAGCCCATTTTTGAGATAAGACAAGGCAATTCCAATGGACCTGAAATTAGAGGCTATTAATTAAAACCTAAAACATTTGTGTGTACAATCAGAGGGGAATACTACGGTGTGCCTAACAGCGCGCTGCCAGACCACTAACACTATAGTGACAAAGAAATTCCCTTAGAATAACCTTGACTTGCAGACCAGAATTCGCCATTGCCTATAAATTAGGTAGATTTTTCAAACACCAAATTTCATTCAAATTCATTCCTTAATTTCAGATACAAACCACACGAACGGACAGACATAATTTCCTCAGTACGCGTTATTTTTATGTAAGACTACTTCCTGCGAAGTACGTTAATAAAATGCCGATTTCATGCTTCATAAACCATAAGGAACCACGTGAATGTCTACGGTGTTCATTGCCGAAAGCGTTAAAATGCAAATTTAATTTTCTTCCTTAACCACTCGACGTTCCCGGGGTTCGATCCCCGACTGGGGCAGAGGATTTTTCCTCTAGCCTCTGCGTCCAGATCGGCTCTGGGGCCCACCAAGCCTCCTCTACAATGGGTACCGGGGTCCTTTCCCGGGGGTAAAGCCGGCCGGGGCGTGATGCTGACCACTCACCCCCATCTAGTGCCGAGGTCAAGGAAGAGAGAAGCTATACCTCCGCTCCCCCCTAACGCCTACATGGCGTATAGTGGGATTTTTAAAAAAAAACACTCGACGTTTATCGCATCAAATTATCATCATAGAATTACTTTTACTGATAATCTGAAAGTCACATTGGTCAGCCCTGTTTACGTAATCTTTGCATCAGAGGCAGCATCTCATTTGTTGCAATGTCAAAGTTGAATGACGAAATTGATGCCCTGGTGGAAGTTTAAAAGGGTCGCAGTGGGTGTGTTCGCTTAGTTTTATAAATGATGATGCCTATCGATTATATTATTTAAAGTGCCACTGTTTTCATCGCCACTAATGGTATCGCTTATCTATGATGAATGTACAAAGTAGTCGGCGATCGATTGCTATTCCGAGGTCAACATGACCTATTTTATTTGCGACTTCTAAAGAAAACAACGTCCAGTAGCTGGGGTTAAGATTAGGTTAGGTTCGGCCTCTGTCTTCATAAATAATAGCGTGGGAGGAAACATTGCAGATTCTATCTGCATAATGAACGAAGTGTAAGCAATTTATCCAAAGGATATTCCACAATTTAAAAATAAATGAAGTGTAAATATGTACTCTCTAACCTCATTTTATGATTTTAAGACAAAATTCCGCCAATTCTTACCTCAAAAAACTTCCAGGCGGAGAATTTTTCTCAATAAGCTAATAGTCGAAGATTTCTGTCTTATGGGTTGTTGCGCTGTGTAGTATGGTTATCAGGCCGATGAATCGCCCCGATGACGGAGGCAGTATGACCTCCGAAACGTTGGTAAACATCTACCGGACTACACTCGCAACAACCCAGAAGACAGAAATCTTCATACTCATCGCCCTGATGATGGAGGCAGTATGACCTC